GGTGGATCGGATACATATCTGGCTTAGCAAACTTGGCGCGCATCTTGAACATTTTGTACATAGCGCATATGTGGTATGTCGCATATGTCGTATATATTGTATATATTGTATATGTCGCATTTGTCGTATATATCGTATATGTCGAATATGTGGTATATGTCGAATCTGTGGTATTTAGTGAATATGTAGAATTTATTCTAAGTATACACTCTAATAATGTAAAAGGTATAAAAGACCTGCCTTTGCGCTTCAATAAAAAAAAACTCGGTGGTGTTCAAAGTTCTAAGTCAAAGAAATCAGAGTATTTGACTTGTAATTCACTCTTATATATAAAACTCGGTTGAGTTCGAAATTCCAAGTTAAAGAAATTAGAGTATTTAACTTGAGAGTAATAAATTCTTTAAGTAAAAGCGTTTGTTCTACTAATCCCCCCCCGATAAGTGAAATCCCGTAATTACGAAAGGAACTCGTGACCAAATCCCGTGATTCTGAATAAGAAGATTCGTAACGTAATCAAGAGCTCTAATCCGGCACTATCGCTAAGAACCTAATTCACCCTAGTTACTCGGACCAAGTTTTCCCGCCTCGATCGTTGCCTTACCAATATTAGGGTTTGGCGTATTAGTTGTAGTGTTCTGGTTAGAGTAGTTTAGTTAGTTTTAGTATTGTGTTGAAGTGTAAATCGGCATTATCTAGAATCAGAGAATTATTTACCTTTTTACACTGTACATACATACGTACAAGATAAATGCATTGAATTGAATCAAATCTTCTTACTTTATCGCATCTAAAAACGGATATAGAAGAATTCCGCAAAAGGGGTCATGAAGCAGTTGACCGAATTTGCAAATATTACAAGGAACTTGATAATTATAATGGTTGGTCGGTTCAATTCTAATTTTGCATTCTTAACCATATATAAAATCTCAAAATAATGTTCCCTTAAATTGTTCACACAAGTTTTGCCAAATGTTGAACCTGGATATCTCAAGAAACTTCTTCTGGAAGAGGCACCCGAAGGTATAGTTGTGCTTGGCTAGTTATCTGGATGTCATTTTATCTTTTTTATTATAAATTTAATGAAATTTTACATTTAATTTACAAAGAACCTGAATCATTTGACGCGATTCAGTCGGATATAGAAACAAAAATAATTCCTGGTGGTAATATATCGTATTCATTATGATATTTAAATACATTTTTGTACATCAGTTTATTCTTAAACATATCTGCACTATCAGTTACGCACTGGCAAAGCCCCAATTTCTTTGCATTTTTTCCGGCAAATTCATCTTTTCCGGGAATCCTTGGTGATATGTACAGCGGTATGTTCAGTTGTATAGGATTTAATGTAAGCCTTCAAATATTTTCGTTAAAATCTTTATGAGACATGTTTCACATATGGGACTCCCACAGCAAAAGGAATGGATGGGCCAAAAAATTATAGTTTTAATTTTATAATAATTTTATTATAATCGATTTAATGCTTCAAGATATTTTTAAAAAAAATTTTTTTTGGCCCATCCACTCCTTTGTCTATGGGGTCCATACATTTTATTTATTTATTTATTTTTTTTTTGTTTGATTTTTAGTGGATATGCTCTCCAGCTTGTACAGAATTGGAAACCATTGTACTTGATTGGGTTGGAAAACTCATCGGTTTGGATAAAAGTTTTCTTAGTGAGGGTCACGGTGGTGGTGTAATTCAAGCAACTGCTTGCGATGCTACATTGGTTGTTTTGCTTGCGGCTAGACAACGCGTGATTGATAAATATAAAGCTGAAGGTTTAAATGATGATCAACTATATAAAATATCTAATCGTCTTATCGCATATGGATCTACTCAGGTTAATTTTAACAGTTTATATATAATTTGATTTATGTACATTGTATTTGGTTCATATCATTCTAATTTTAATATTCATTAAAATGATTGTATACTTTTTAATTAATAAATTCAGACCCATTCATGCTTTAAGAAGGCCACCATGATAGCTAACGTACGCTTTCGGGCACTTCCAACAGACGAAAAATTCTCTCTAAGGGGAGATACTGTTGAACGTGAACTTGAAAAGGATATTTCTCAAGGTCTAATTCCATGTTTCCTTAATGGAACAATAGGTACAACAGGTTCTGCTGCAGTGGATCGTATTTCAGAGTTAGCAGATGCAAGTATGTATAGTACATTGCATATTTGATAAATTATTTTATAATTGAAATAAAAAATCATTTGTTTTATTTGTTTTCAAAAGTTCATGGCACAGACGTGTGGTTACATATTGATGCTGCTTATGCTGGATCTGCCTTTGTTTGTCCTGAATATCGACATTATCTTAATGGTGTTGATCGATCAGATTCATTTAATTTTAACATGCACAAATGGTTACTGACAAATTTTGATACTTCATGCTTATGGTAATATTTGGTGTTCGAATATACTTTACTATATACAGTCTTCCTCCTCTATAATCACACAGTTTGTATCAAGAAAATTGGTGATTATAAAAGAGTGTGATTATATAGAAGTCTTTTTTTATAAGTTTTTTAATAAATTGTCTCAAAAATTAATGTGATTATATGGGAGTTGTGATTATATAGGATGTGATTATAGAGGAGGAAGACTGTAATAATAAATAATGTTAAAAAGAATTCACTTTATATACAGGGTTAAAAGGCGTAAACTCCTTATAAGTGCATTGACCGTTACACCAGAGTATTTAAAAAATCCTGCTAGTGAAAGTGGATTGGTTCTAGACTATCGAGATTGGCAGCTACCACGTAAGATAAAAATATTTCAATCCATGAATAAATGTTAAATCATTTAAATGCTATTCATTCCTATTTTAAAAAAATTTATTTCATTCAGTGAGTAGCCGTTTAGGGCATTGAAAATATGGTTCGTATTGCGAACTTATGGAGCGAAAGGTTTGAGAGAACATATTCGAAATGTATATATATAATCTCATGTTTAATGATTATAACAATAATAAAATAATAATAATAATCATTATTATTTTTAATTTCAATAGTCAATAAATTTAGCGAAACATTTTCAAAACAAGCTTACATCAAAATATTCCGATCTTTTCGCTATCTCAGTGGAGCAAGCATTTTCACTTGTTTGCTTCCATGTCATTCCTAATGAAAAATCTCGTGAAACTTCAAATGAGCTCACCGAAAAAGTTTATAATCGTTTGAATGAAACTCAAAAAATTTATTTAACACACATTAAATTAAATAATCAATTCGTTATAAGATTTGCCGTAGGAAGTCCATGGACCGCTGAGGAACATATAGACAGGGCACTTGACCTTATAGTAAAGACTACTAAGGAAGTTATTGGAATTAAAAATGAAAATGGTATTTAGTAAAGAATTATGATGGTTGTAATTTAAACTTTCTAAATACTTAGTTTTTTGAAACGTAATTGTAATGGTATAGTTATAGTATAATGATCTCTGATCATTAATACTAAGTACTTTACCTAAGGTTCGATAATTTTTATTAATTTAATATAGAAAATTTCTTAATTTACACCAGATGTATATACGCACATACTAATTTATTGACTTACGAATTTGTTTAATATATAAATTGTAAACGAAGAATTAGTATAGTTTAAGGTTAGGGTGAGTGTAGCTTTAGGGTTATTTTATACTAAAATTTTGTAAGGAATCCTTTTTGTTAGAACCCCCGAAGTGGGTTTTATAATCAAAATTTATAGATATCAATATATGTGTGTATATACACATGGTGTACAAATAGCAATCGTCTTTAATATAATTACTTATTTAATAAAATAGCGACGTGAATTTAAACATAAAACCTAGTTATCCATTTGGCTCTGACAATAAATACTTAAGAACACTACATTCATAATATTTTAGGGTAAATAGACCGAGTCCCATATTTAATTGTTTACATAGCCCAAAAAAAAACAATGTTCATGCTATATGTATAGAAGAGTAGGACATTATGCACATTCATATCTATTCCAAACGTTATTTGTAAAATGAATAAAGGACTATTATCAAGATGTGTGTCAAAAAATGAATAAACATGAGAAAGGAAAAAGTATACAAACCTGAAAGATAAGGTCGTGGATATAAGGTTCCTTATACTTGTCAATAAGAATGTTGGTGCCAAAAGATATGTGAATGTTAATCGAAAGAACAGAGTGACTAATATAAGTCAAATGTGAAAGATAGAACGAAAGAATGTATTAAACCTGCTGGTTATTATCATTGAAATTGAATGAGAGTCGAAATTGATGAATACGAAATCAGTGATGAAAGAAAGGTCTTTGAGGTAGCAAACCGAATGAACAAAAGGGACCTTACGGTTAAAAGAAAGGCTCTTCTTGAATGGTATAAAAACATGTTAAAGACTGCAATTTGCAATCTCAAATAATTATGTAGAGATAAAAAGAGTAATATTTGAAAAATGTTAAAGCTGGTGATACTGTTAATAAAACGAATAACTTTGAAAGTTATAGTAATGTAATAGATGTTAAAAGTAATAAATGTAAGAATAAATAATAAAATTTTGTACTCTGTTATTGATATGGCATTATCATAGATAATGACGAAAAAATGTATTTGAATAGAATATAGGTTGCCAACGATGAAAAGTTAATAGAAAGCAGGTTTAAAAATATTTTCAAAAAGCAAGAATACAAGTCGGAGTAAGCGAAAATGATAATAAAAGTAGCATGGTTTATGATTAGTGTGAACAAAGTATGAAAGTAAAGGAAGAAATTGGTAGTTAGTTCGAGAAGTGGCGATAAAATGTGTTAAATAAACGATAAAAATTTTAAAAGCTCACCTAAACTGGATGGTGACTTGATCCGTAAGATTAAATAAACTTAGTGATAAACTTAGTGATGAAGCTAATAAAAACGGAGCGAAGTGTAATCTTTAAATAGAAGATATAAAACTGTTAATAATGTTGGATCATATTGATTGTAATGTCTAAATTGTAAATAATATAATAATAGTGAGAAAAGGGACAGGTTATGGAAAGTTGATTACATACAATTATGACAGCAAGGATTGTATCAGCCAAGGATAGCTTACATAAGAAAAATAGAATGTTTCAAATATTTACATTTCATTAATAGATTAAAATATGCGATATTTGGGGAATTGGCTTTATTAAAAAATAAATCATTAAATTTTGAGGAAGCGAAGAAAGATGTTTCATCCTTCGATTTATTAATACCTCTTGAAAAAGGATTTGAACTTCATAAAAAGAATGGTTATAAAATGCATGGAAATGTTTTGAAGAAAATGCAAATCTTGGCAATATAACAGCAAAATATTGGTAAGGATATTATTTATTAAATGGATATGATATTATTGAAAAAGATCAAAAGCGAGCTGCAGAAAAGCTGCTGGTAATGATAATTCAGATGCATAGTGTCGATATGCAGTTTTTTTATTTTTTAATTTTAAAAAAGATGATGAAGCTATAAAACAAGATAATTGCAATAAATTTTGCATTATTTTAAATTAGCAGCTGATAACATGAATGTTGAAGTAATGTATTATTTAGGAAATATTTACTTTAAAGGAAAACTTAGAGTGAAAAAAAAGAACTTGGATTAGTATATTTAAAAATAGCTGCAAAAAAAGGCAATTAAGTTATTAAAAGAATTAAAAAAAAAATAGTATTTCATTTTTTAAACATTTTCATGAATTTGCTATTATATTACTGTTTAATTCATTGTCCGATAAAGTAAAAGTAAATTATATTTTTTATAGAATTAAGTTTTGACTAATTCTTCAATGTATTGGGTTTTTTTAAAAGAAATAAAGTTTTATTATTATTTATTGTTAAAACGATCGTCAATATACAAGTTGTTCGTTCAATTACATCAATAAAATTCTTTTAAACAATTTAATATGAAATAACCTAAATTAATGAATTAACGTTATCTTAATATTATTTAGTAAATTCTACGTTGTATTATTTTTTTAAAAGAAATAAACTTAAATCAATTCATTATTATAAATATTTTCATTTGAACAAAAATTAGTATAACAATAACGATAATATAAATAATATATATACAATAATCTTACCTTTTCATCTACTTCAATAAAACAATTCAAGATGAAACTATCTAGATTACTGAATCGAATTCAATTTGTTTTTTGATATTAATTCGAGTTTTACCATCAGTTTTAAAATTTTGTTAATTGGTATTATCGTATTCACTATGTAAAAATAATCAAAAATAATCAGCTTCCCCATGAATTTCACTTTTCGAAACTCCGTAAACAATTTTGGCAGAAAAAATTCGTAACTCTAGTAAACATAACTTTGGTGAATTAATTCGTAACTCCTGCAGAATAGAATCAGATCTCTAAAAAAGAAATTACCAATTGGTTGAGATGTAAGAATCAGGACATATTTTATATAAAAAAAGACAAGCTGAATCAAAGTATTTTTATCAAGACTTCTGCTAATATTCTTATGTATTTATAACTAAATATAATTTGATAAAGGTCTAATAAAGTAATAGAGGTATTTCTTAATAGTTTCTCTACTACGTTATTATTTTATCTATATATACATGACTAATTGTTTGTAATACTATTGTAATTAACGAATCTTTAATTATTTGAATTTCTTTCTTATTTATTTCTTAGCTACAACTTCCGTTTCTATAAAAACTTTAATGCTTTATAATTGAAAATAACCTATCATTAAAAAACACCTATATTCCATAAAAATTTGCAAAAATAAAAAATAACATTCGAAATTTAGGAGATTAATGATTTGCATCATTTTCGTTATCATTTAAAAGACTTTTGAAGAAAAGTCATAATCTTAAACAGTGCTTCTCATCAAAAATTTTTGTTGTAATTCCAGCTTCAACCAGAATGTTAGCAGGACATTGCGTTATATGAAACAATTCTATCAACCTCCAAGTTCCAACCCGGTACCTTCTCTTCTGTCTTCAAAATCGATTGAGGAAATACTTTTCCTAAGTCTTATGTATGGATTCAATGTAGTAAATTTGAAAGAAATAAGAATTCAATGTTTTTCTTTTCGATTGGATGTGTGCCTTTTGTATTTATGAACAAAAATATTTTTAAAATTAAGGGTTTTTTAAGTGTTTTATTGAACGATGATAATTTTTTTTAACTTTTCAATATTTCATTGCATTATCAAAAAATTTAAAGTACAGAAGAATTTTGGCAACGATAAATTGGTTAAAATCGAATTATCATCGATTAGAAATCAATAATTTTGACAATTTCTTAAAAAAACGTGCGATTGATAGGAAGCAATATTTCATTTGTATATTTTTCTTACTTTTGCTCATATGAATTAAGTTCATTAAAAGTAATACCGAACTAAAATAAATGAATATATAATGTTAAATGTCTTGTCCAATCACTTTTCTGATTAATTTTATATATTTTTGATTAAGCATGAATAAACAACACTTTTGAATTTTATGCAAATTAAAACATATCATCATCCAAACAAACAGCCAAATAATATTAAAATAAAATAAGTAAGAGAGAAAGTAAAAAAGAAAAAAATAACAAAGTGAATTGGAGGGCATGGAGAAACCGCGACAGAGTTACGAATAGAAAATTGTGAACTACAAAGGGTTTGCTAATTCACGTATTTTTGTTGTATTAAATATTTTACAGGTATAAATACTATCTGGATGCTTTGGTGAATTAATTAGTGATGTTTTAACTACTTCATCAGACTCTAAGAATTGTTTTTTGATTTCATCTGTATTATCCACATTATTTATTATTTTATTCCAATCATTAATTTTATTCCAAATATCGTAAGCAGTAGGTCGTTTTTGTCGATCATGGTTCATACACTGTTTTGCAAATTCGACATAGCATTCAGGAGTTTTATGTTCAAATTTAGGACGTAATCCTTTACAAATCTTTATAGCAAATTTTTAATCAAATTTATGCCCATCAAATGGTCTTTGTCCTATTGACATTTCGGCCATTATGACCCCAAAATTATAAATATCTGCTTTTTTTGTGAGTTTTTCGCCTTGCAAAACTTCGGTACTACATAAGGCATATTTCCATAAATACCATCTTCTAAATTATCATTATATTCTATTATTGTCCAAAATCCGATATGTGTGACTGTTGTGAAAGGGAAGGTCGTGGCTTCAAATGGACTATTCTAAATATGGTTGGTCGGATATGCATTTTATACCACATAGTGAACATGTGCCACATAGTTCACATATTCGACATAGTGTACAAAGTGTACAACTTTGGGAGAATCCTGATACTTAAAATTCCGATGCTCAAAACCCTGAAAATAAAATCCCATAGTATTAAAATTTGCTTTCAGGATTTTAAGTGTTGAA